TTAGAGAGCCCTTAGAGCTACTTGAGAGTTTTCAGTTCCTTTTGTGGCATATTCCTTTTGAAACAAAGAAGGGAGTCATAGGTATGGACCAAAGGGTTGTAATCTGATAAACTGCATAGGTGAAGGCTTGCTCTGATAGAAGAGGGACATATGGAAATGAAGGGAAATATTCTTTTCTGACTGTACAATGTACTTAGTTTCTGGATTGCTGACAAAACTGAGCAGAATCGCTTCTATGGAACAAAGATTTTCTTCAAATTAGCACTTTTTAAGTCTCAATTTGTGATAACAAATAATACTGATGTCAGAGACTAATACACAAACATTTCAGTACTAATTCAAGGAGATAGCTAGGAAAACAAGCATTCATTCTGCACCACGTGTTAATAAAAATAACAGATATTTAGGTTCATATACAAAAGATCACATTATGCATTGATTCTTTTCTATTTTATTCTTATCAGTTTTATTATGGGAATTTTGCATCTTAAAGTTAGTCACCAAAAATGGGTATGTAATTATGCCAATTTCTCATGAAAGCTAAAAAGCAATTTCATAAAAATTCTTCATATTTCCAATGTTTTATTAAAACCTTCAATTCTGTCCATCTATTTGGAAGCATTCACATGCTAGGCTTGGTTTTAAATGGGTAAAGATTAGAGGGCAAGAACCTCCTGTCCTCCAGGTTAATATCTGTTTCTCTTGAGTACAAATACTATCCCTGTGCTCTCCGCTACTTCCCTAGTTTAAGTTCTTAATGTTTCTTACAGGATGATTTCTAGATCATGCTATGGTTACCCTGCTCCTGAGCATTCCCCACACCAATCCACCCAGCCCAGATGACCATGACCAAGAGTTTTCTACATCACAGATCTGATCTCTTCACCCTCCTTAATAAGATAAATACAAACCAAGAACTAAAGGGGTATACTGGAGGAGGGAAGGGTAGAATGCATTAAGAACAAAAAGAAGCTAAGGAGACAGTCACAACCTCATAGGCACTTGAAAAATTATATGCATTTGGTAAAAATCATCCTAAATGTAAATGCATCCTAAAAAATGAAAATGTAAAATGCATCCTAAAAGAATAGATAAAGCAATTTTCTTCTTAAATTTATAAATAATCATTTCTCTGGCCTTATAAGAAGAGAATCAGCCTGAAAAACTAACAGAAGGAAAAATACTTGACTTTGGTGCTAAACAAACTTCCTTGCCTTTGGGTTTAGGACTGAGCCTCTAAGTCGGGCACTTAAGCCACTTCCTTCTTTGTTGCCTAACAATTGTAGCTTCATCCATATTAAACTGATTGCAGTTTCCTAAACCTACCCTGCTCTATTATACTTCTTTGCTCTTTTCTCTGTTGAGAACTTCCTTTCTATCTTTGTCTAACAAATGGGTTCTTCAAAACCCAGTTCAAATATTAGGAATTATTTGAGTCTCATTTTCTTGTCTCTTCAGAGTCCTTCTGCATTCTAATAAACCTTCTATGCACGTCTTCATGAACTTAAAAATGTACTATACTTATTTGTCTCCATGGCTGGTGTCCCCTCCTAGGTGGGATAAATCCTCTAGGGCAGAATCCATGTTTTTCTAAAAAAAAATTTAATTGGAATATAATTGCTTTATAATATTGTACTAGTTTCTCCTGTACAACAATGTGAATCAGCTCTAAGTATATATATATATATATATATATATATATATTCTCTCCCTCTTGGGCCTCCCTCCCAACCCTCTAAGTCATCACAGGGCATCTAGTTGAGCTCTCTGTGCTATACAACAGCTTCTCACTAGCTATCTATTTTACACATGGCAGTATATATATGTCAATGCTACTCTTGCAATTCCTCCCACTCTCCACTTCCCTACTGAGTCCACAAGTCCATTCTTTACGTCTGTGTCTCTATTGTCACTCAGTTGCTCAGTTGTGTTCGGCTCTTTTGTGACTCCATGGACTGCAGCACCCCAGGCTTCCCTGTCCTTCACCATCTCCCAGAGATTACTCAAACTCATGTCCATTGAGTTGGTGGTGCCTTCCAACAATCTCACCCTCTGTCATCACCTTGTCTTCCTGCCTTCAATGTTTCTCAGCATCAGGGTCTTTTCTAATGAGTCAGCTCTTCACATCAGGTGGCCAAAGTCTCTATTGCTGTCCTGCAATATTTCCTTACAGTTTTCAGCACAAGATAGGTGCAATTGAATAGAAATGTATGAGAGGATGATTGTTAGCCATGTTTTCCAGCTGTGACTGTCCCATGACAAGAGCTTTTTCTGGCGGATGGTCTTTGCATTTCTGAGTGCAACATCTAATGCCAAGGGAAGATTAAGGAAAAGTAATCTGCATCTTGATACCAGATTTTAAAAGTCTTTCTTCACTCTAAGGAAAGAGCAGCAGAGAAAACACTGCCACTGAGGACTAAAAACAAAGCTCTTTCAGAAGTGTAACTGAGTTTGTTTACTTGTTCTGAGTATGAATGTTTGAAAATACACAATGGCAGGGAAATAAGGTGTCAAATTCTACAGGCAAAAAGCCACAGAAGCAATATTTCAAAAATGGTCCATTAATTTCTTCTTTTACCTACCAACCACACAGCTTGAGAATATATTTTAAAAATCTGATCTTGTTTTAAACCATTAAAATAGTTTCCATTGTCTAAATAACAGCCAGTTCTCCTTATATTATTCCTGTTTGCAGCCTCTCCATGTGACCTGTTTTTTCCACTGTTGAACTGAAAGTGGTATCATTTCCATCCTGCTACTGCCTGATAGTACTGAGAAATGCAAGCTATAAAACTGCGCTTGTCAAGAAATATTAATGGAGGGGGTGGCCGTATACTTTTACAGTGCTTAAAAGCTTAAGCTCTAATAATAAAAAGTTGGCTTTTGTTCCCTGAGATCATCAAAAGAACTTGAAGGAAATGAAAGTAAAATCCAACAGGATTACAAAATTAAGGCAGAGTTAAGGAAAAATATTTTCAGTACCAGAAGAAATCTAAAATAAATAAAAAAATAATACACTTGTGATATTGCTATTTGACCCAGACAGTTTCCATTCAGTTATGTAATTGGAGACTCTTTGAAGAATCTAGCCATGAACTCACTGGGGGAAGGCAGGAAAAACATCTTTCCTTGGATATCCATCTGGATTCCACCAGCTAGCTTGACTAGATAAAGAGGAAAATGGGTTTCTGATGGTTTAGACAGAAAGCACTAGAGCAAAACTTTGTCAAATGTCAGAATGGTAAGATCAAGAGATGGAGGCCTATCCTTGAACAGGAAGAGAACCACATCATACCCTATCGATAACCATGGGACAAGGTGAAGCTGTAGGGTTCAAGTGGGCAGATTAGTAATCTCTCCACACCTAGGACACTGTTGTCAGTCTAGCACTGAAACCCATGCAGAGTCACTATACATGTTTGAGAATTTCAGATTTGAAAGCAATAAGGTAAAAATCTGTATCTCGGTATATGACCCAGAATCCCCAGAAGAGATGTGTTACAAAATCCAATAAGGCCGATCAGTTGCCCAAAGGGACAGTGGTCCAATATATCTAGTTAACAGTGGAAAAGAATGTTCAATGAAACTTACCTTGCATAAATACCTTTAGTGTATTTGTGCAAGTCAAGATTCTAGTAAATACATAAGAATCAGCATGTTCTCAAAAGTTGCCTTTGACCACATCATCTTATGACACAAATCTTCAAAATACATAGAGAATAGAGTTGTAATGACTTCCCAGGTGACTCAGTGGTAAAGAACCCACCTGCCAGTGCAGGAGCCTCAGGAGATGCGGGTTCAATCCCTGGCGCAAGAAGATCTCCTGGAGCAAGAAATGGCAATCCACTCCAGTATTCTTGCTGGGATAATCTCAGGGACAGAGGAGTCTGGTGGGCTATAGCCCGTGGGATTGCAAAGAGATGGGCATGACTGAGCATGCACAAAGTATTACTACTTCCCACTTCTCCCCAGCCCTTCTGATTGAGCTGTATTATTGCATATCTCTGAAAAGCCATATTTAAAAAATAACTTTCCATCTTATCAAGTACTTATTTTGTATCTCAGATCAAGATTAAAATCTTCTTTATAGAGAACAGATTCATAGTTGCTAAAAGGGAGAGGGGATTGGAGGAAGGATGGAGTAGGAGTTTGTGGTTAGCAAATACAAACTATTATATGTAGAAGAGATAAGCAAAAGGGCCTACTGTACAGCACAGGGAACTATATCAACATCCTGTGATAAACCATAATGGAAAAGAATATAATAAAAATGTATTTATATGTATAACTGAATCACTTTGCAGTACAGCAGAAATTAACACATATTGTAAATCAACTATACTTCAATAAAAAAGAAAAAAGACTGAAAGGAAGGTTTTTTTTTTTTTTTTCGAAGGAATGAAGTCTTCCTTTTTGACTGTATCTGTCTAGTGGAGATTTTCTGAATATTTCTGTGGTCACAGATTCCCTTGAGACTCATATAAACTCTCCCCAAGCAATTTGCTCTGCACAAGCCTGACACACACACTCACATGCACATTCAATGCTGTGTATACTATTTCATGAGGTTCATGGATCACATAATTTTATCTGTGGATGCCAGTTTAGAAATTTCTGCCTTGTTGATCCTGTGTTTTTCTGGCCTCAGATAAAACTTTTAAGGACAAATGTGCCTTTGATTCATCCTGCTTCTTTGCAGGAACACTTATGGAGTGTCTGTGAAGTGAGCGTTTTTGTATTAGATAGCAAGGATACAAATTTGCTAAATTTCTTCTCTTTTGAGGTGGAAAATTCCAAGTTCTAGAATGTCTAGAACTGCTCTATGTTTCTTTCCATCTCTGCGTTAATGATCTGTGTGGTAAATCATTAAACATTCCACATAAATTACAATAATATTTTAACCAGGGTACAAGGGTTTTAATTTGCTTCTGAGCAATTTTTTTTTTTTTTTTACTATATGAGGTTTAAAGGTTAAAATCTGAAAACCATAGCAAGGTTACCTGGCAAAAACAATTCTTTCTGGAGTCTTTCTCTGGCCTGCTGTGAAAAGCATCTTTTCTTCAGCCAATCAGCTTTATATTCACTGTAGTGGTCATTTGGCCACATGATATGAACCTTATAACACAGAAAGCAAATATCACATAAACATATATTATGCTTCTAAGTACTTTGGTTCTCTACTATTGCTGTTTCTGAAAGTTATTTAAGGTTATCAGAGAATCAAATTAGCTCTTGCTTTTTTACCTTCTGTTTTTTAACTTATAGACTCAAAAGCATAGAATAAACTTTTGACAAAGAAAGAAACTGAAAGCCAAGGAGATACAACTGAGGTCTGAAGCCCCTTAAATATCACACAAGAAACAAAACCTGGCTAGATCTGAGTTCTTGTTTTATATTCTTAAAACCTGTGATCCCTGAACTTCCTGTGATGATTTGAGGTCAGAGATCAATTAAGATTCCTGCCAAGAATATCAGAAATAGTAATGATGATGACGAGGTAGATAATAATAGGAGGAATAACACAATTTTGAGTGCATACTACACAATGAGCACTATAAATATAACTCACTTAGCCCTCATACAACTTGTGGGAGAAGCTATAACTAATATTCACATTTTCAGGTGAGGTAAGTAAGAGGAAATAACATGGTGAAAATCCCACAACTAGCAAGCAGTGAACTCTGGCAGTAAAGTCCTTGATTTGAGACGAAGACAGAAGTCGGGGTGGATGGCCTTGCTGGTGACACTTCCCCTTCTGATAGCCATCCTAGCAAATTTGGAAAGGAGAAGCAGGCTGGGGCCATGTCTGCTTTGTGGTTTTGAGAGCTGAGCTTTCAGGAATCCTATATGAAGTCATACGTCTACTCACAAATTTGACTAAAAATATTAATCAATACAAGCTTTTAAGTGCTCACTGTATGCCAGCCACGTGCTAACTAACATTTTACCCACATTATCTCATTCAATCTTCACATCATCTCTAGGAACAAATCTTGTTAGTATCCTTCATTTCTAGATGACAGTAAACTGGGGTAGGGAGCATTCCTTGTATTAGAGAAATAGTTTGATTGTACCTTCAAGGCTGCCACTACTGAAGGAATAATGAGCAACTTTGTATATTTTATTAAAGATAATAGCAGTAGTAATAAAAATAGTAATAATAATAGCAGAAGCTTTCACTTGGTGAGCATGCTGACTTGGCACCAGACACTATGCAATCATGTTTTTTATACATGACTCAGTGTTAAAGAATCTGCCTGCCAATGCAGGAGACACAAGAGATGTGGATTTGATCCCTGGGTTGGAAAGATACCCTTGAGTAGGAAATGGCAACCTACTCCAGTATTCTTGCCTAGAAAATTCCATGGACAGAGGAGACTTGTGGGCTATAGTCCATGGGATTGCCAAGACATGACTAATTGAACACATTCCTGACTCTGATATATAATATATACATACATTAAATAAAATATAATTCATTATTTGAATTATTTGAGTCTAGACCTTTTATTTAAGTTGAGAAAGCAGGGAGAGATAATTTGGAGATAGTTACCTTTTTCTTGTCAAACATCAAGTCTTTGATCCCAATGTACACATCAAGAGCTTCGATAAGAAGTTTCCGAGCTTTTGCCGAATCAAGATAACAGTCAGGACACTGACAGTTGTCCCGGAGCCACACAGCTGGGTAGATAGAGTCTGCACCATCCTGCCAGATGATTCGCATCAAGTGAGCTCCACCCAGCACTTCTGCTTTTTGGATGACACAGTCCATGTTTCTGGTCCTTGGGGGTAAACCTTGTCAGCTACCTGCTATGACAAATCAGTGTTAAAAGGACTCTCAGGAGGATCGGGTCTGAACTTGATTTCTAACAATTCAAATGGACTCTGGCTTCTGCTATTTGCTTGGGTTTGCGGTTTCACTTATCAGTGCTGGGACCTTTGTTCTGATGAGAGTATTTCATGAGCTGTAAACAGAAACACAGTGACTAAAAGTAAACAAGATAAATGCTCTGTCATGATCCAGACAGAAAGAATTCCTTGTTTTCTCATAGCACTTTTAAATAATAATTTCAGAACCAATGGCACAGGCACTTTTAAGCTTGCATAAAAGCTCCGGAATTTTTTTAAGGGAGAAAAATACCCCACAAACTGAAAGTGTAACTGTCACACCTGTGCTCTTTTAACTGATGCCCAAATTCACTGGATCTAGCCAAACCAGGAACTTTCAAATCTCAGTTCCTAGACTCATTCTGCCCCCATTGCTAGGGATGACCTTTCACAAACTTTTCTTTTCATGAGCCAGGATATCTGTATCCTGGTGATCTGGCAAATAGAAGCTTAAATAAGTAAAGAGTTTGTTTTTGTTGTATAAAAAGAAGTCCCAATGTGACTGTCCATTGCTGGTAGTGTGATTTCACAGAACCATGGGGAGCCCAGGCTACTCAGAGATTTTATCCTTCTGCTTGTTGCCCCATGTTCGCAAAATGACTGCTCCATCACCAATACCACATCTACATTCCAGGGAGGAAAAAGGAAAAACATCATGTGGCACTGAAGTCTACCTTATTTTCAACTCTTCCCCATCTAGCAACTTCCAGTTATATTTCGTTGGCCAGAATTATATCACAATCTAACTTTAGCTATAAGGGAAGCTGGGAAATATAACTGTTTACTAGTTACATGCTTGCTCTTCAGAAATCAATGTTTAATTAGTGAAGATGGAAAATAAGATGGGCTCAACATGTATTCAGCAGCGTTGATCACATCCTTTAAGACTTGCTCATATAGATATCTTCTTTAAACAGGCCATCCTGTGGCCTCTCAGACAACTACCAATGTCACTTATGCCCAGCCTTCCTTATTATTATTATTTTTTACTTTCATAATTATCTCCTTTATTTTCAAGTCTGGAACTTCCAAGTGATCTTTGTATCCTCTAGTGCAGCAGGCACATAGAAAACATTCAATATTGGAATGAAAACTTTAACTTGACACATGAGGAGGAAAAAGAAGACTCTTTTCTGTATTTAAGTAAGATTGTACCTACTATAGTAAAAGCATAACTTACATAACTTCATCAAGGACAGGAAACTGCCTGTGGGTAAGATGTTTTTATACAGTCCAAGAGGAAAGAATAGTTTTTATATTCTCAAAAGGTATGAAAAAGAACATGCAACAGGGAAAGTATATAGCCTGTAAAGCTGAAAATATACTGTCTTCCCTTAAAAAAAAAAGTTTGCCAACCTTTGAGATAGAGAAAAATTGACTACATTTACTCTTTTTCTCCTTACATGTCTAGTATGATTTAAGGATCTGGTTATATTATCCCAGATTAACTGGAATCATCACTGTCCAGTGAAATATCTACGGCAATTACCCAGGTAAGCAGCAGGAGAAAGAGGCTGGGAAATACCAGAATACAGGTGATACCATCTTAAGATCTCCTAAGAAGTAAGACAATTAAGTGGAAAAATCCATCTTATTTATTTTTTTCAAACTTTCATGTGTATTGGTATATATTTGAAGTTTAACTCATTGTCAATGAAGTGCTGATTAATAAGCTTGAAGGGCTTCCCTGTAGTTCAGTTGGTAAAGAATCTGCCTGTAATGCAGGAGACCTGGGTTCGATTCCTGAGTTGGGAAGATCCCCTGGGGGAGGAAATGGCAACCCACTCCAGTATTCTTGCCTGGAGAATCCCATGGACAGAAGAGCCTGGCAGGCTGTAATCCAGGGGGTTGTGAAGAGTTGGACACAACTGAGCGAGTAAACCACCACCAATGTTGAAAATGTTTTGTTTGAAAGGACTTTCATAAAAGTTGAAATTTCACACATTAATTCTTAATAGATACATTGTTTGAAGGGTGCATCTTCCATCATAGTAAACACTGTTCTGTACTCACCCATGGCTCTGTGCCAAGTCTCACTAACTGTTGAAGTGATCACACCTACAGACATAACAACACCAACAAACACTTGTTCCATTCTAACCTGACATTTTTGCTTTCTCTGCCTCTTTTTCTTTGTTTTTTTTTTCTTTATCTGTTTTTTTCCTTTTTCTACCTAGCAAGTTTGAATTGGAGAGGGAAAGTGCATTTCCAAGTATTAGGGGCACAGGGCTTGCCAGGTGGCGATAGTGGTAAATAATCTGCCTGACAATGCAGGAGACTCAAGAGACGGGTTTGACCCCTGGGTTGGAAAGATCTCCTGGAGGAGAAAATGACAACCCATTCCAGTAGTCTTGCCTGTAAAATTCCATGGACAGAGGAGCCTGGCGGCCTACAGTCCAGCGTGTAGCAGAGAGTAGGACACGACTGAGTGACTGAACACACATGTGTACACAGACTCTTCCCCACCCCACTCCTCTTGGTCAAATGGATGTTCTGGAAAGGGTATCCTGAGAGAGGAGGCCACTCAAGACGGTGGCTGATGGAGGCTGCCTGAGGCAACTGCAAGAGTGGCAGAACTGGAAAGACCTGGGTGTTGCTAAAGTTAAATTGTTTGGGTATCTATGAAGGAACCTGGCAGGTTATTTCTATGCTTCACAGTCCCTTTCCAAACTTTATGACAAATGTGAATGGTAATCTGAACAAAAGAAGGGAAAGGATGGGAAAAGAGTTTCCCTCTTTAACTTTTCTTGATTTATTTAAAGCTTTATTGGGATAAGTGAGATGAAAATGGAAAACGGGAAAAAAAAAAAATCAATGGACATTGTACTTGAAAACAAATTCTCTCCTGTAATGTATAGGCTTGTACGTGTGTGTGGCTTGTTAAAATCTATTTTTCAATTTGACTAGTTAAAATTGAGCTGTGTTCATGTGGCTGATTCATGTTAATGTTTGGCAGAAACCAACACAATTCTGTAAAGAAATTATCCTTCAATAAATAAATAAGTAAATATTAAAAAAAAAACACAACTGAGCTGTGTTGAAGCATAATGACCATTTAGTTATTTGATAAGTTGTTGTGTTTCTCTGAAGAAAAAAGAAAAACCAAAACATTTGATGCTCATAGCTATATATATAGAGAGAGAGAGGCTTCTCCGGAGGCTTAGGTGGTAAAGAATCTGCCCACAATGAGGGAGACCCAGGTTGAATCCCTGGGTCAGGAAGATAACCTAGAGAAGGAAATGGCAACCCATTTTAGTATTCTTGCCTGGAAAATTCCATGGACAGAGGAGACTGGCAGACTACAGTCCCTGAGGTCGCAAAGAGTCAGACATGACTGAAAGACTAAGAACTCAAGCTCTCCTCCTGGGGACCTTAGAGCTGAGTGCTGTGGCAAGCTGTCCTCTCTCTCTCTGTCTATATGTATATATATATATATATATATATGTTTCTCAGTGAGACATTTTTGCTGAGTTAAAATGGTCCTATAAAATGAAAATATTTATTTTATACTATTTTGCCTCTTATTATTCACAATTATAATTTAGTTCATGAAATATCACCTGAGTTTGGTGGGAGGAAGTCATGTTAACGTCCTGAGAAAGACTTTGGATTGATGTCAGGGGGCTTACTATCTAATGGGATAGATTTCTTTTCATTTCATCCCATCACTTGATGTGTGTGTATGTGTTGTCATCTTCCTTGCTAACTCACCATATTTTCCCCCTTCAGAGTTATAGACCTTTGTTTGGGACTCCTGTTTTGCTCAATAAATTGTTTTAGAGATTATCTTACTTCTGTCATGGGTGTGGTTTTTGTCTTTAAAGTTTTACAAACTCAAAATTTCCCAGTTGTATTGGAAAATCAAGAAAGTAGCACTGAAAGTTATTTTATGTGTTGGTCTTGGGAAAAACATAAACTTAGAACTGGAGTCCAAAAGAAAAATCTATGCTATCATTGGGTTGAGTGATTTCATCTGATAGCAAGGAAAATGGAAGCTCAGAAATGCCGGGTGTGATTTGTCCAAGCACATAGTGCTGCCTGATGGGAGAGGTTGCCCCAAACCTGGATTGGCCAATCTACAGTACACATATAAAAGTGAATACCTTCTAGTTCTAATCCAAGGGAGTGCAAAAGTTCCTCAAATGCTAATTGCAACTAATTTGAATTATAGGTTTTGGGTAGGATTCTCAAGAAATTGACACAGAAACTGCATAGCTACTATATATAAAATTAAAATTGATGGAGGTTAATAATATATACCAGCAAAGGCTGATTCATTTGCTAGATTACTCACCGTTCAAAATAAAAACTGTCATTTTTCAACTGTTTTTCTGTAATGGAAAACTAGATAGAGAAGACTCATGTTATCAAATGTGAGAATCTGTTAATGTCTTTTTCCTCTTCCTCAGGTAAGTCATCAGGCCTGCTGTGATAGAACAGGATTTTCTGTGTTTGACCTTCTGTCTTTAGGTTTTAGGATTAAAAAAAAAAAAATAAAAATGCAAGAAACAGGAAAATTGCATGGGTAAGTATAAGAGATGTATGTACTAAACCATGTATTCAGCACTTTTTATGTGGTAGCTGCTCTACTGATGCTTTCAGTTGAATAAACCTTACGTAATCCTCTGGAAAACATTGTGAGATCCCTGCCATCATTCCCTTTTACAGATGATTGGAGATTTAAGAGGTAAAGAAATTGACTTGAAGGCAGAGGAAACAGAAATCATGGCCACTACACTTGACTACCTCATGGAGAATCTATGGTCAAATAATTTTCCAGGCAATAACTTCAATTTAGCAAAAATGTACTTTGAAAATAGCAGCTAACTCTCAAGATTGTTGGTTGATGGTTGACCTCACCATCCGACATTTCATCACTGAAAG